TGAGCCTTGTAATGCGCAAGTGTGTGAAAGAGAGTGTGTGTGTGTGCAGTCGTTTAATGTTTGTCTTTTAATGTCTTGTGTGTGTGCCACAGCAAATGTGTGTGTGAGTGAGTGTGGTAAATTAATGAAAAATAGGGGGGAAAAGAACAGATCGAAGTGTTACAAGTATCATCAAGTTATTCTGCTGTATCATACATGTGCTGCACAATGTGGTGGTGCTTTCAGCTGTACATATGTTTGATCTCAGCACTCTGACCTGTTTCCCCTGAACCCTGTGTCCAAAGTCCCGCAGCGGCGTATTTTAGGCTCGCACTGTGTTAAAAATAAGCTAACGTGCTCAGCATAGTTACAGGCTGTGTTAAGTGTCAAGCTGTTACACGACTTCGGACCATCCGACAGAGCTACAGTCTGCAATAGTTTCCCTCGTAGAAGATCCCCATTTAAAGCTATCGTAGGTCTGTGACAACCTTTAAGTTGTAAAACTCTGGCTCGTTGTCCGTTCCCTGCTGTCACATCATGCCCATTTGTGTTTAAACCAATGTTAATATATTCATATTTGATGATATGGGAATGAGACAAAATATTTATTGCATTTCCGCAGGTGATTGCAGATTCAGGTATTTTATTGTACATGTATCTTTATGCGTATTACGCTGTAACACAGTGAACCGAGTAAAGTTTATTTAAAGTGATATCGTCAGCCAAAGAGAGAATCGGGAACGCAGCAATCCATCGTCCTTCATGTATAACTTCTTATAGACTAGGTGTTTGTAAAACCTTACCTGTTGACCTTTTACTGCGATGCAATCTCTATAAGTGTGTTTCTTTTTGTGATTGTCAGTCTTTTTGACCGAATGTTTTGAGATGATTGACTGGCCTTCTGATGAGATTAAGAATGAAACTTCTATAATCCTCTGGCCGCGGCGCCGGTCTTTTATTTTAGTGAGAAGCACAAGGATGTGAGAATGTACTCTCTCGTTGAGACTGGGAAGAACGAAGAATTGCGTCTGTCTGAATCCTAATGCATTACTATAATATAGTATATTAATTGTTACACATATTACTTGTATTCTCAGTGTGATGGGAGCTCAATGGAATATCTTGTACAAAGGTACCTGTTAGTGTCTTTGCACATGTTCACCTTACTTTCCTCCATTGTAAGTGGATGCGTTTTAGTATAAGAGTTATGTTAACAGAGTATTTATTAGGGACCATATGTGAATGGCACAATTGCATAAATCATATTTAAAGTAATCTGTGTATGTGACAAGTAACTCTTGTATGTGAAGCTCTCTAAGGGAATGTTTCCCTGGCAAATTTTCAGTAGGCACTTTAACAGAATCATAACATCTTTAACAAGATATTTAATAAAGTCGATATAAAGAGAACATGAAACTGTGTGGCTTATTGGAAAAGTAAAATAAAGAACACCCTGAAAAAATGACATTTCATTTGTGTCCCTACTCCAAAGTATCCCATTCTCCCAACAAACTGCCTTTATCAGCAGCTACACACACACACACACTTAGAGTATATATTATTGCCTCTCTGCCTAATCATCCTCCAGAAGCTTTGTTTGGCCTCCAGCTGTGTGTCGGATTGGCTGTGAAACCCTTCTCTCCAGCTCCAGCGTCTTTATTCTTTTCTTGCTCTTTGCATCACTTTTCCCTCCTCTCTTATACTCATTTTGCTTTAAAAGAAAATCCTTCCACCTTTCTACTTTCTATGCCTTTTATTAAGCTACGGTTTAGTCTGATTCAGTCTATTTAAGGCCCCATTTCATGAAGAAACAAATGCAATTCTTCCGGTGTTTCATAACCTCTGAATAGAGCACGTAAAAAAACAGAGAAACTCTGGAGTGAAGCTGCACTTATTCATCGAGATGTGCTCCCGGCGCCCTCTGGTGGTGACTCTGTGCCGGTGTTGTGCCAAAAAGTGCTTGTCTGCCAAAAACTGATTGCTCGTATTTAAACTGCTATAAGTAACTTGTTGGGCTATAATATGTGAAATATATGTCAAATGCATCCCTTATGGATGACATAAAGTCATCTTGAGCCACGAACAACATTCGTGTAGCAAGGTAGAAGCCGCAATCAGTTTTTGGCAGTGACTTTTATATAACCTTTATTTATGCAGTTAAAAAAAAAAATCTCATTAACATTAAAAATGTCTTTTGTAAGAGTAAGTTGGCCAAGACAACAGCAGAAATGGCAGCAAATATTACAATAGTTCAGTAAAAGTATTTTAAGTGGGGATAAATGACCGGATTGGTTATAATGTAAGTACAATAACAGAGTTATAAAGATACTTGAAAAACAGATACTTTTTAAATTCTATATATAACCCCTTTGTAAACCCTGTTCACCGAAGTCTATTTACCAACATACGTAAAGATAATACATATAAAAAATACACAGAAACATTGGAAATCACTTTTTGCCTCAACACACAGCACATGATAATGATACCTTATGAAAAGGGCTTCTAATAGTGCTCCTTCTAATTGAAGGAATTTCAATATATACAAATAAAAACATAAGTATGAGAATGCTTAGGCCCTAGAGTTAGACTAACTCATAACCCTACTTATATAGAAGGAAGCTTTTACTAGGTTTTACATTAGCATTTGCATGACTCTGGCTCATGCCAGTTCAACTGGTTTCACTAAATGTGCTGGCATGTATTACAGGAGAAAGGCAGATAGCATCTAACAGGCAAGGCATCAGCATTCTGTTCAAATTAAAGCTTTAAGAGTTTCTCACTGCGAGGCAGCTGTTGTGAATGGAAGTGTCACTTTTTAAGTCTCACATCTTTCAGCAGGAAGAATGACACAGCAGACAGAGTGGTTTGAACAGGAAACAGCATTATCTGTTATGATTTAAAAGCAACAATGTGCAGTGTTAAAAGGAGACTTTTAACAGAGTCTTTCAGGGAGAAACATTATGTCAATATTTTTGACTACTGAGCCACCATAAATTATTAGGTGGCAAGTGCTAAAATAAGCTCAGATGAGCAAGCATCACTGCCACGATCAACTTTAAGCTATAAAAAATACTGACAGTAAAAGATAAAAGCAAGTGTCAGTTATGTGGATCTCACCACTAGCCTGTAGTAAGCCAATAATGTAAGCTGAAGTCAATACAGCACTCCCCCTTCCAAAGCAAAAGCACTGCCCTCTGCCCTGTAAAGGCTGGGAAATAAAAAGCTTCATTATACACTGCAATTCAAAGCAGCTCAGTGTAACAATAGAAAAGTAGCTTCAGGGGTAAAGACTGACCTCCCGTTTCAGCCCATGTATTCACGTTAATGCAGAAATGCAAAACTACATTAGAAGTAAATTCATGATGTAATTAAAATGTGTTTATTAACAGTTTTGCACGATAACATAAACCAAAAGAAGCCACACATGCATGAATATGTAAACCTGCATATAAAGTGAAATAACCAATGAACAAAACAACAACAATATAACATAAAAAGATTATTACAGAACGGTGCATTACCAGTGTGTTTATCCACAGAGTGTCACTGCATGCGCAAAGTAAGAATTATAAGAAGTCTTGATGTAATTTAGAGGAGGCTCCCAGTTTATATGAAATTTACTAGCAGAGCCATTTAGAAAACATCTAGCTCTGTTCTAATTATGACTTTTTTTTGAGTGCATGTCAGATTTAATGTGTATGAGACAGAAGAGCCTTGCAATAAGATTACATGTCTTTCTATAAGAGACAAAAAGGGAATAACCTTCTTTGCATGGGCGGGGAGCATGAAGCTATTTACAGCTCTACCAATAATGGCGATTGAGGGTGATGGAAGGAAATGTTATGGCCAAGCTTGTGGCATGCATACAGCCTCCTTTGATCTTAAGCGGGCTGAACAAGCAAAAAAAACCAACCTGTCTGCCACTGTAAAGAAGTTTAACTACATATTTAGTCATATTTAATATTAGAAAGTGCAATTTCAACAGTGCATCTCAGATTTTCTGCACGATGAAGAAATAAATAAATAAATGTGTAAAATTACAGAAAAAATTCTGTTAGCTCATTGCCCAGGTGAGTAATTCACATTCATTCACAAAAAACAGAAACAGGAACTTCTCTGTGTTTTGATCATCTTTATTCACCTATTGATTAATTACTTTGGTGCAGTATGAATGGCGGTGGAGGAGGTCTTAATCAGTAACATCCATTGGATTGGATGACTGGCCCCCCGGGCGCTATGTTTGACACCCGTGGTGTACAGAACCATAAGTGGACGGAATGATGGACGTGTGAAGAACATGTGAATGATTAGAGCTGAGGATTGTTTACATTTGTGGGATCTGTGTTTGAAGATATTCTAGTCAAGTTTGCTCTCAAGAAGCAGCAACTGTGTATTAATTCAAATTGTGTAAGTACACATCTTGGGGATATGGAAGATTAGTGACAGAGCCAATATGAACCATAATTAAGAACTTTACAAAGTATTACAAAATATGCCTTGATAGATATAGCAACAAACAGCAAAACTCAGTCTATTTTATTTAAATATTTATTATGTGTGAGCAGGCTATACACAAGTAAGAGGAACTTATTTTAAATAATTCTAAATGAATCAGTGGTGTGAGTTTCTTGGTTGATTGCTTTTTTTTCTGTTTTCTGTTTGTTTGTGTTTTTTAAGATAATGAATTTCGCAGCTTTCACTGAACCAGTTTGCACACAAAGATTTTTACAGGTATATTTTAATGATTTTTGCAGGTTAGGTGTAGTGAACTAGCAGAGCATGAACGCTGCCTGCATTTAATAAGAGACTTGTAACAGAGATAGATTATAGGAAGAAGTTTTAAATGAGGACCGGTTTCTTAACCTAGTCACACAACTTCATACAAAGGCAACTAAGAGTGCTGAATAACTCTAAATGTATGTAATTTGATTAAAATAAAATAAAATAGTAAGATTAAAAAGGCAAGATATATGTGACAGTCATTTTGCAGTTTTATCTTTCTTTTAAATGTGAACGAATATTCGTTCAGGATTTTATGTGCTGCTGTCTGTCATTAAAGAGGCTTGTTAATATTAATTAGCTATTACCAACAGGAATTTCAAAGTTTTGAAAAGGCGTTGTTTCCTGCCACGTAATGACGCATGCGCATCAGTTCGCTTGTCGTTTGGCGACGTGTACCCGGTGAGTGGAAGTGCTAAGGATTCTTAACTCGCTGGGTAACAAGCGGCCATAAACCAAACTAAAAAAGCCTTAAAAGAGCAAAAGTATGGGTGGTTCGCAGAGTGTGGAGATACCGGGAGGAGGCTCCGAGGGATACCACGTCCTCCGGGTGAGTTTGTAGCTTCTATAGCCTGCTCTTAGCTCTTAGCTTAGCCTCCGGTCTGAGGCGAAGAATTCCCGGTTGTATGTGTTGACTTGAGGCCGGGGATGACTGCCGGGGCCTCCAGTCCAGCAAACCACCACGTCTGGGAAATGTGTAGTTTAAAGCTGTGTCAACCCAACACGCATCTTTAATCACGGTGTCTGTGTATGCCTGCTGCTCAGCTAGTTAAATATGCTTGCTGAAAGCAAAGAAACCGTAGGGCTAGTTGATGCTACGTCGCTAATTTGAGTGACAGCTGCCAAGCTAGTTTTAGTAATAGACCCATTATCAGACACTTATGTTGTACACAGGGCTTTTTACCATGTTTACATATGCTTAGCCTTTGATTAATCGACTAGTGAGCTAAAATGAGCATTTAGTATTTGTCGTCCAGTAGTGGTAACAGTGATATCAAAATAGCAAACACTTGATAGCATGAGTGTAGGATGAGTAGGATTGACCCCCATCCTGATTATGGTTTTCACACAGTGGTATTTTTATACAGGGTAACTAAGATCAAAGGCTGATTTGACGTCTTTGTATCCTAGAAGTTGCTCATTTGTAAGCCAGTTGAGTCATGACTAGTTTGCATGTTGGTCAGCGCAATTTATTTAGAGGAAACTGGCTTGAATTTCAATAAAGCATCACAGCCTAGCAGCTGAGGATATCCCTCATTTTCATACAGGTTCAAGAGAACTCGCCTGGGCACCGGGCAGGGCTGGAGCCTTTCTTTGACTTCATCGTCTCCATCAACAACACCAGACTGGTGAGAAAATGCAGCACTTGCAGCTTGCAGGATGAAATAAGAGCCTTATGGAAGGCTACAGTTCACAGTTGCCCCTTTCTCTACTTATGTTTGTTTCATTTTCTGCAGAACAAGGACAACGACACGTTGAAGGACTTGTTGAAAGCCCATGTCGAGAAACCAGTGAAGATGCTAGTTTACTCTTCAAAGACTCTGGAGCTGCGGGAGGCCACGGTGACCCCCAGCAACCTGTGGGGGGGTCAGGGCTTGCTCGGTGTCTCCATTCGCTTCTGCAGCTTTGAGGGAGCCAATGAGAACGTGTGGCATGTCCTGGTAGGTAGCCGCAAAGGTTGTGTGTTGCATCATCTCTGTCTGTGTGATACAGCAGTAATTTTTCTATGTCTAATAGGAAGTGGAGCCTAATTCCCCAGCAGCCCTTGCTGGCTTGCGGCCACACACTGACTATATAATTGGAGCCGATACTGTTATGAATGAGGTTGGTTACCCATACTTATCTTGGTTCTTGCTGCTGTCACTCAATGTTACTAGTTCCTCAAGATTTACCTTCTTGTCCTCCTGTTTCTGCAGTCCGAGGACCTCTTTTCTCTAATAGAGAGCCACGAGGGGAAGGGCCTGAAACTGTATGTGTACAACACAGACACCGACAACTGCAGAGAGGTGGTTATTACACCTAACACTGCCTGGGGAGGAGAGGGCAGGTAATATACAGACTCCTGTTGGAATTTGTGTATTTTCAAAATAAGCGTCCTATTTATTTGCATCTGACATGATTAAAAACGGAAATGCATAAATATTATCAGCCAAGTAAGGTCAGCTATTTTTATTAATGATGATGTCCTTGAACAAATGAGCCAAAATGAGAATAAATAAAAAGGCCGATTTAAATCTCTTTTTAAAACATGAGGATAAAGGTAGTAAATTAAAGGTCTCAGACCAGGTGGATGTCAAATGATTTTCACTGGAGAACACTGTTTATATTCACAGTGTTCTTTTTCCCTTCTCTAGCCTTGGCTGTGGAATCGGCTATGGATACCTCCACAGGATTCCCACCCGGCCGTTTGAGGAGGGGAAGAAGATCAGTTTCCCTGGAACTTCTTCCAGTGAGCCTGTCAGTCCACTGAAAGACGGATTTACTGAGGTCAGAATGTACACATTTATTTAAAAAACAGGGCAGTTTAAAGCTGCTTCAGTATGACTCTGTTGAAACTTTTTGTACCTGTGTCTTAGAGTTTGTGGTGCTATAAATCGATACCCACTATCACTCGCTTAAATTACTTGGTGTATGTGCAGGTACGGCATTGGAAGGGTTTGAGTGTTTGTTTTCATTTAGCATGCACACAGCCTGTTGGAGAGAACATTTGTTTTTCAATAGATTCAATGAAAATGTTTACCTTCTGCAGGTGCAACTTTCAGCAGTCACCCCTCCTCCTGCTGCACCTGCAGTTCCCTCTGGCCTTGACTTGTCTGCCCTGTCAATCAGCTCCTCAGCCCCGCCCACCATGCCCAGCGAGCTGCAGACAGGTATGTCTGCACTTTCACTCACAGACGTTTGTTAAATCCACCAGTTTTAAGTTTGATACACGGCAGGAATATTCTCATCTAATGTTTAATGTCTCTCTTCTTCCGATTCAGGTTTGCCTACAGTCCCTCTTCTGCCCACCTCCACTAACCCCTCACTCACCCCTCTGCCTCCGCTGAATCCTGCCACTGCTGGCTTGAACCCAGCCACCACGCTACCAGGTGATTTCAGCAAGGTCCACACCCTTCCTCAATAAAGACACAAGTCTTTGTGTACACATTACACACATTCAGTGAATATATTCATGTTGACGTTTCCCACACTCAGAATGGCTTTCCTTTACAAAACTTCATCAACTACCCCCTGTCCTTTCTTCTCCCCTGAGCCTTTTCTTTTTTTGCTCACATCAGTGGCAATGGTGCTCTGTTTTTTCTTTTGTTTTTTTAGTTGTGATTTGTGCCTAGTTTTACCTTCTAGAGTGGTTTACTGCATTAAAGCTGCACTCATTCTGGAGAGCAGTGTACATAAGACTGAGGAAGTCTAAGAACATGAATGATTATGGTGGTTGTGTGGATGTGTTTGCATTTCTAGGTCTGATGCCCCTCCCAGGTAGCTTAACAGCGCTCCCTAACCTTCCCAACCTGCCAGTCCTAGATCTCAGCAGTGTGTCACTAGCAGGCGGCAGCACCTTACAGCCACCAGCAGGGATGACAGGTGGGTAATGAAGACTTTACTTCAGTCTTTGCTTTTAAGCTTATGGAATAAAGGATCCGTTTAGTTTTTGAAAATGAAATATTATTTAATTGCTACCAAACCAGGGAAGAAGTCTTGTGGGTAAACTGCTTCAAGTCTGTTCAGTGAGCAAAATGCACTGTTGCGTTTAGGCAGCTGAGTGTGATCAGGAGATGGTTTGTAGTTAGATCTTGATGGTAAAAACATGTTCATGCCAGCGTGTGTTGTGACCCTTTATTTCTCCAAATCTCTACAGAGCAGCTAAAAAGAAGGTGAAGTGTGAAAATGCTCTGTGTTTGAAAAGTTAACTTGAGTTTAAAAAAAAAAACTAACATGAAGGAGGCACCTCATTTATCCTCTCTTATCTGTCTTCAACAGTCCCATCTCTGGCTCCACTCCCACCCCTGAACCTTTCAAATCTGGCCACGTTGCCTCCTCTGCCCACCATGCTGCCCTCCCAGCTGCCTCCTGTCCTCTCTCAGGGTTTGACTCCCATGTTGCCAACTTCCACTGCCGCCCCTCCAGCTTCAGTTACTGTCACAGCAGCACACATGATTAATCCAGCCACCGAAGCCACAGCCCCCACAGAGGCAGGATCCACGAGCACCACGGAATCTCCAGCACCTACGGAAGCAACACTAACGTCGTCATAACGTGGGAAATATGACTCCACTTCTCGTCAAACTCAAACACACCTGGTTTGGCTTATCCTTCCATCTGTCGTTCTCCGTGTTTTCTATTTATTTGGCTAAGAGTGAACAGACGCATCAATTCAGACACAGAGGTCAGCATGCTCACGGGCAAGGAAGCTTGTGTGGAGCGAAGGAGGATGCAGAGAACGGAAAGCGCCTGTAGACTGGTCTGACTGCTGTGTCTGTATTCCCTGATGGCCATAACGCAGAGGAACTGTTAGCACTGCAGCTTGCCTAAGCTACTGCTTGAGGAAGATGAAGTCGACTCATTCATTTGTAGTTTACTTTTCACTTCCGCAGTTAGACAAGGCAAAGACCTCTGAGATTTTCGCCTTTCTTGTATGGAAACCTCTCTGTTTAAGTTTTATATAACAATTTATGTTAATGGATCTGGATGATAAACACAGTTTATTGAATTGCCAACATAATAAAGATATAAAACCGGGATTACAGCTGGAAGTAAGATGTTAAATGAATTAGTCCAGTCCAGAATTGAACTCACCATACTGGAAGAAATCAGACCATAAACCCAAGAAAAGAAATGTTTGTGCTGCTGAATAAACAAGTAAACAAATCCTGAGTGTGATCAACCAACAATTTCCTGTATCTTTTTTTTTTCTTATTAGTTAATAGAACCACCAGTCAGTAGATTAATTTGAGTCATATGTATTCATTTTTTGTTGCTGTATGTCTCCACCCAATGAATGAATCTGCATTATTTTGCACCACCTTTGTGTTTTAAAATTTATTCCCCTTGTGTGTCTCCTTGTATATCCAAAATCTGTACTTCATACCATCTCAACAACACCGAGAACAGTGAGAGCCCGAAGGCCGTGCCAGAGGATACCGAGGTTTACAGAAACACGAGCTACTGAGTAGAGTGTGCACTTGCTGCTGGATACATTAAACTTGGGAGAGGTTTTTAATGCAGAGCATATCTCCTGGCATGGTCTGAGTGGAGTGGCAGAGCTGCAGCATGGCCACAAGGTGTCACTGTAACAGAACTTTTGAGAATATCTGCAGTATGTACAGGGCACGCAATAAAGCCAAATTAATTTTAACAGCTGCCTTTGTGTGTCAATTTATGTTGTGCAATGTTTGTTGCTACTAGTGAAAGCTACTTTGCACTTTCAATGTCCCAGATAGACAAAAACAACATGATGAAGATGGCCAAAAAGAAAATACAAGAACAAACAAGGTATAATGGAGAATTGGTGCAGCAGGGCTTGTGTATGGGAAGCTAGAAGGTTCAATATTCTGCATCTAAGCAGCATTTCAGAAACCCACAGAATAAATATTTGGGGAACAAAAGAAATTTACATCTGCCTAATAATTCAGTTGTAAAGCAAACATATAAGAGGTGCTAAAGATTGCAGTAAAATGCATCAGAAAACATGTCTTTCAAAATTTGATACACTTTTTCATAATTTTTAGACAACACCTGATCATCGAAACAGTTTTCACATCATACGCACAACCTGTAAAAAAACAAACAAAAAAACACTACTTCTAGTTCGTCACACACCTCATCAGAAAATCAAAAATGTGAAGTCTGCTCAGCCTTGTGTGGTCGTGTCACAGTGATCAAACAGTCTTTTTCATATTTCAAAAATGATATAGTGAAACATCTGTATACAGTAAACATTAAAGATTCTCCTATTAATACTGTACTCTTTAATAGCAGAAAGCGTTATGGTGACCGCTGGGAATCTGATGTGATTGGGTCCTTCCAGAAGAGAGTCTTACCACTCAGCAACTGTTCTGAAACACCTCTGGACAGTTATGTTGAAGCATGACTTAAATTAGCTTTAATTCAGTTATGGAGACATAAAAACAGAACATTTTTAACAGAGCTCGACCAATTCATCGGCAGACCAACATCATCAGGCTATACCACCTGTTTGCTGCTCTATCTGTATCGCCCTTTATAAGCATTTAAAAGTGAAAAGTAAAAAAGAAAGGTGTTGATGTTGCACAGTTTGTTCAGTGCAACTGGTATCAGTGTTAAAACTGTATAAGTTGGGCTCTAGTAAATAATTCCCAATCAAAATGCTTAAAAACAAAACACACACAAAACTTGCTAATTGCATCAAAATGAATTTTTAAAAACCCTTTCCACCTTTTCTAAACGTCTACTTGTTTGGAAAATTTTTGGAAAAATTTTGGAATTTTCCTGTAAATTCTTCAAATAGCAGCTCTCCTTCTTAATATACATAAATAAAAATGGATTGCATTTATATAGTGCTTTTCGGGGCCCTCAAAGCGCTGTACAATTCCACTATAGGCAAGCTACAGTTGTAGCCACAGCTGCCCTGGGGCAGACTGACAGAAGCGAGGCTGCCATATCGCGCCATCGGCCCCTGTAGCCATTACCAGTAGGCGGTGGGTGAAGTGTCTTGCCCAAGGACACAACGACCGAGACTGTCCGAGTTTACACATTTTACAGTCTTGTGCAACTTAATTATAAGAATTACATTTAAAACAAGTCATCTTTACTAGAGCAATGCATGTGTCTTATAAGACTTGCAAACACTTGGTATTGGGAGGGGAAATGGAAAATTCTTCTAAATGAAAAAACGTCTGTGAAAAACATAGATACATCAACAAGTTACATTTCTACTGAAATTTTATAAAAACATCTGTTTTCTGTTGTAGCCTGTTGTCATCGTCCCTCCTCTTAAGTTCTTGATGTTGATCTTCAATTCGCCTTTCAGTCTGTGCGTTCTGATCCAGCTCATATAATACCATCACACCATGAGCCACAAGTGTGAGCAACCTCGATTCATGTGAAGGGAAGAAAAAAACATCTGTACTGTAAAAATATTTTGATTCTGCCACCTGTGGTTTCTGTTGTGCATCACAAGTACAAAATGTGTTGCAGTGAGTAAGAATGTGGTTAGTTTTGCAAAAGAAGCACATGAGCTTAGGGAATTGTAAGTAACCGAGGATAATTATTAAAGGCTTTGCTAAAAGACAGACTGACTGAATAAATAGGCTCAGGCTATTTCTGTAAGTGAACAAAAACTCCAAACGTGAAATAATGGCAAAAAAAAAAGTGAATTGAACTTCCTCCAGGTCCTTAATTAGGGGGAAATGACATCAGTGGTTATAGACGCTGCAGATGTATAATAATGGTACACAAGTCATAATAGTTATACCTAAAATACTTATATTTTTAATATATATAAGCAATCACATACCCTAATTTTATGTGTAGTGATTACTAAAAACCTATTTTTGGCATTTAAAAGCGACTGTAATTAGAAGTGACAGTGATTGTGGAGTGGAAAAGAGATCCTGCACATGCTTGAAACTTACCGAGCTGGAGGTTTATAAAAGGCAACGATACAAAAACAGAGCTAATAAATCTGATGAAGGACAGCAGTTTCTGTCTTTGTGGATACACACACTTTTTAGTTCTGTATGTTCAGTTTTATGCACCTCCCCCACTGATGCTGGATGCTAAGATTAACCTAAGAAATTCTCTAATTAACCTTGTTAAATACAAACTGATGGCCTTCAAAATAAATTGTATGAATAAAATATCCATATTACTACAATCCTTTCTTCCCTTCATACCTTTTAACCACATTCAGGTGAGATTGAAATTGCAGACTGTAACACAAGGCTGCTACAGCATTAAAATACACTCAGGTACACCATGTCACCTGCTTCTTTATCGGTTTTCTGCATTTTACCGGGGGGAGAATCATATTTGATAACTCCAAAATCTTGTATTGTCCTCCAATTGAACTCTAGGGTTGAAATTTTGAAACAAAACTGAATTGTCAGAGGTCAGAGGATAATGGACAGGCTGCTTTGTGCCGATGAGGAAGTCAGATAACCACAGGGATGCAGAAGAGCATCTTTAAGCACACAAAACACAGAGCCCGGAGGCAGATGAGCTACAGCAGCAGAAGACCACACCAGGTGTCACTCCTGTCAGCTAAGAACAGGAAACTAAAACTTCACACGTGGCTTACCAAAACTGCGAAGCAGAAAACTGCAAACACACTGCCCAGTCAGAAGAGCCTTGATTTCTGTTGCAACGTTTGGATGACAGGCTCTCAATTGGGCATAAAAAACATGAACGCATGGGTCCAGCCTGCCTTGTACCAGCAGTTTGGACTGGTACAAGGCAGAGCATGTTTATCCCTTTCATTAGCAGCGTATCCATCGTGCCTGTATAACACACGTCGCAAAACTCAATCATCTCAAACTGGTTTCTTGAACATGACAATAAGCTCGCTGTCAGCAGATCTCAATCTGTTTGGGATGTGGTGGAACAGGACGTCGTCATCTTCGATTTCAGCCAATAAATCGGCTGCAGCTGTGATGTCATCATGTTAATATGGACCAAAATCTCTGAGGAATGTTTCCAGCACCTTGTCGAATCCATGCCACAAAGACTCAGGGAAGTTCTTAAGGAAAAACTGTCTCCATTAGTGTAACTAATGAAGTGACTACCAAGTTTTTTATATCTATATATCTATATATGTATAGCTACGCATACATAAATATAAATATCGCAGACTTTCTTTGGCAATTACCACATGGGTGTTATCGCCTTCCTCCAGTCTCCATCTTGTTGCACTTCCACCAAAGTTACATAACCCTCCACAGGAAATATGGGTCGCACAGCAGGAACTAGTACTTGTCAGGCAATCTTTTAACGACGAAGCCTAGCATCAGATTCCAAACATGATATGGCTTTTACTTTACTAATGGATGTATTTCTATTAAAACACGTTTTGCTGTGTGTGCCTGATATTTCACACCGTTCTGTTCAGCAGATGAAAACAGAGGGCGGTGTGCTTGTTTCTTTTATTAAACTTGAAACTTGTTATTCCACTTCCTCACTTGCTTTCACTTTCACGCAAGCCATGGGAGCTCCTCCCCTGCAGTTTAATGCTCTTGTAATGTTTCTGAATTGATGTTGAATTTCTCTGTTTGTTTTTTACCCATATGACAGCTAACATTTCAACAATCAATTCAGGATAAATGTTTAAATTAAAGCATTATTTTTATCAATCCCCTTATCACTTGCGGCACATAAAATTCTTACCAATCCGGGATCCACGTTGCCTACATTTGAGAGGGCTTAAAAGGCACAAAACCATACAGGTAAGTGTTTTATTTAGACAATGACAACATTTGGATATATTCACTCAAACTCTAGCCGCAGTAAATCTCGCTGCAACCACAGCCAACCTGGAGCGTGCACACTTCTGCTGGCATGAACATTTCTCACTACACAGCGCACTGGGCCTTTGCTCTATAGGTCTGTCGGACTTTTACATCAAAATAATCAAAAAAAGTTTTGTGGGTGGGAAATAGACCAAAAAAAAAAACAAAACAAAAAAAACACAGAGGCTGAATGTTGGTGGCAGAAGAATGTGTCGCATTCCCTTGAACAGCACAGCGGGCGTCTTATTTTATAAGAACAAAACAAAAAAATCCTCTTAACACAGTTCAAGTATGCACATATGCGAGGTGAAAATCATTCACAGACGTGTTACAAACTAAAAGCGACACTTATAGCAGCAAACTGAGAACAGCTTTCAGGAGGAGATACAAATTAAACGGAGCAAAGTGGTAGCAAGGAAAAGCCTCAATATTATTGATCTGCTAATGATTGACGTCTCCTGCACGTGAAATCTACAACCAATTCTGCGTCCTGATGACGGCAACAGCTGTAACAGCTGATCCAGCCCCCCGCCCCCCACCGCCTCTTCTTCAGGAGAGCTGGCGGGCGGGCAGGGGGGACAACATGACGGATTTTTTACCTGAACAAAAAACGATTAAGACAGATTCACAGATCCACTTCCTGTAGACCTCAATTATGTTGTAATGCAACAAAAAGGAGGATAAAAAAAAAAGTGAATGGAAGTGAAATTTGATGAAGCGGGAATAAAGCCCACATTGCAGTGCTAAAAGCCAGCTAGGAGACCAGATGAAGGTAATCTGGATTGGAAACGCAAACTGAATCCAGAAATAAAATGTCATTTTTTCCTTTTTTTTTTTTTAAAACATCAAGTCTGATAAAGGTTACGTGGTCACTTCCAAGTCCTCAGATCACTTTTTAAGTTAATCCCTGTGGGGTGCAGATAGGAGGCTACAGGTAAAGTCATTAGGGCGTCTCATTAAAATGAACTGCAGGTCGCCTCAAACACCGGTGCCTCCTCTGCGTGTCCGTTAACCCCCATCTTCTGACCCCTGCTGGTCAGCGCCCTCATTAGCATCGAGACTGTAACTGCAGCGTTAAGTTGACGTGAGTTTTAGCCACCTCATGAGGTGTTTTATGACGTGCGTGTGTCTACATGTAGATGTATATAGAGCTACGAGAAGGGAGCAGGTCATTTAATGTCTTTTAAGGAGTTCATTCCTTAAACAAATCCTCTAGATTCATCGTCGTCGTCGTCATCGTCTGCTTTCCGCTCTTCTCCCCATCTATTCCTTCGCTTTATACTCCGTCTCCTCTCTCACGCAATTGAGTTCAAGGGCCTGATCAGCCTTTACTTCCTCTCATTTTTCCATCTTTTCTCCTGTTCTGTTGCTAATGTATCCGTTTTAGCAACAGCTCAGGTGGAGAAAAAGAAAAAACAAAGATCCACATCTACTAATCGATGAACATTCCTGCCTCAAGACTGGCCAGACGGTCCCATCAGAATGTTAGTCAGTAGGTGGGAAGAGATGAGGCGGAGGGCTGCAGAGAGCCGGAGGAGTTTGAGCGTCTCATGTGAGGGAGGAGGTAGGTGTCCGAGCACAGCTGGTGAACGTCGTACCTATCCTCCTTGCGATAGGCCAGACAGCGGCGGATAAACGCCTGCAGAGCACAAAAGAGCACAAATTAAAATGATAGGAGACGTATGCTACGCTACCTTTTGTTACTGTTTGCCACTAATTTAGATTCTATTTATGGCAAGGCAATATTATCAGCTGCTTCTCCGGTAAGTATCTCACAGGTGAACTGCGGGTGGCTGGGTATTCTTATTCTGCTGTTCCTGACATTTAACATTTCTCCACCAGCTATGGGCTCTCATTTGAATGTCACTCCAGCTTGCAGCAAACTTTCAGGCCAGAACACAGACTACTGTCAGCTACTTCAGCTCTGAAAGGTGTAGTCGGAGTTTAATGTAGGACGAGATCCTCTCTGGAGAAACAGCTGAATGCTATCAGGGTAGGAAACAAGACGTAATAAAGGAAGGGGCGTAGCTAGCAGCTAGCTAAAGAAATACTATAATGAATCATGTATGTCTGGCTGTCCCACCCAACTAAAGTCGAGGAATAGGAAACTACTGGTTGCAGCTGACTCAGATGAACGAACATGTGTCAACGTGTCGCTGGACTGCCAAACTAAATCTCTTAACTATTAACACATTAGTGTGCAGCTGTAGCCAAAACTGCAACACAAGTCTCACCCTGCTCACGCTTAAAAACAGAAAAAATCATCTTGAAATGTGAGAAACTAAAACCAGTGAACTTTTCTGATTTCTTTCACACTACAGACAAATAGGTCATTACATTTGTTTTAAAATAATATAAAAGTTTATCTCTTCAAGTACACAAGGTTTGCCTCGATTTAATATCTCTAAATTTCGCCAGATGTGATTATTTACTGATGGACTGTTTCATGTCACTTTGGGTTTTACAGGATTTTGCATTACTGTCAAGCAGCAGATCCATTTGTCAGGTATTGAATTACCTGGGCCCAAAACAGACGTCCCAGCATGGTTATTAAATCTATGGATATTCCTTTTAGTTGGGTGTAAAATATAGAAGATTTTATCCACAGCGCCCACTATTAACTCACCATTAAGATGCTATGCAGTTAAACGTCATTAGGAGATGCCATTAACAGGCTACTTTTCAGTCCCGAGTTTCAGCTTTATTGCATTAATGTTGAAATATTGCATCACTGTGAACATAATGTTCGTGCAATTTGAGATATCGAGCAACAGGAATAAAACTAAGCGCAAGCAGCATCCATTTTATAGCAGCTGTATCAATAAAGGTGACGTAAATGCCCTCGTGTGTCTGTAAACGTGTCTGTGTGTGCGTTACCTTTGCCTCCGTGCTGGCCTGTGGTTTCGCTGGGAACTGGACTTCTGTGGCTTTGAGGATGGTGTTTTCCTGGAGGATGTCCTGCTGTGACTGATTGTGACCAAACGGCTGTAAAAACAAAACACAAGATTCAAATTCAAAATGTTCATGTCACTTCATCTGACATTGGATGTTGTGATGGTGTTACGGTGCGGCACCTTGCGTCCATAGAGGCACTGGAAGAAGATCACTCCCACAGACCAGACATCCACCTTGTTGGAGATCTTAGGTGGTTCCTTCCCCACCACAAAGCACTCTGGAGGAAGGTACCTAAATACAAGATTAAGCAAACAGATTTAATCGGCTATCAGATCAGAAATACATGACATTATCTTTAAAAAACTGAACTGAGCTGCTTCCATACGCGGGCAGGTCGGTAGAGGTGTGATTTCTCCTGGCACAATCTACACACTCAGACATACCACAACTACACACTTGCATACAGAGCACCAGCTGTTCGACAAGAGGTCAAAATTTGGGGCTTTGTGCATTTTTTTTGTGCTGCAAATTTATTTATAAATAAAACTATACGCTCTGACTTACAGAGGACTAAAAGCGCTATAATGAATTTTCAATTTGTCTCATTAATCTCGACCAAACCAGTTTGCTCAGGAAGACAAAACAGTAAAATCAATAAGAAATCACTAGTCAGTTATAACATATAACAGGATAATTATATAACCAGTCACTGAGTGATGAGGGTCAACAGGGGTTTTGAAAATTGTGTGCCTGGAGCAGGCTTTTCTTAGTGGGTACGATGCATTCTGATCACTCGGTCAGTTAATAGCTGGCTTTTGCAATGCATTCTGGGGTACCTGATGGTCCACTTCACCACTCCCATCAGTCCATTATTTGAGACATATGCAAGGTAACCAATCAGACGTTGACGAGCTGTAGCGACAGTTTAAACGATTTCATGATGCACTGCAGCACACGAGTCATGAAATAATTACAGTGAAATATTTCAATGTTTTTAGATAATAAACAAATATTTTCAATAATTATTGATATATTTATTTATGATATATTTATTTCCTTACTTTCAATTGAAATTCATTTCTGACACATTTACATAATTATTCACAGATGTATTTATTTATTTCATTTCGGCACTTTTAGCCCTCCACTGTTTCCTTCTATGCGATAGCATGCTGCATGTGACATCTTTGTTATTGTTCTTCTCATGTGGGTAAGTTCAGGACTGTAACCTGTGCAGATCCATACTTGACTCTATACCTACCATATTTTAAAAAAAATGATAGTCACAATTCACTGTACATCTTATTAGTAGCACAGAGACACAATTTATACGCGACATAGGCCCACAGATTTAGTGCGCTGTCTCTTTCAGGTAATCTGCAATCATGGGTTTAACCTGTCTGTCAGTCTGGGAAGGGCATTAGTGTGTGTGTGTCTGTGTGGGCATATGTGTTACCAGTAGGTGCCCGCTCCCTGTGATGTGAGATCCATGCCGTCAACACCATAGTTGTCATCGTCCATTATCTTGGACAGGCCAAAGTCTGTGATTTTGATTTCTCCACATGCTGTACCATCCACCAGCAAGATGTTACCTAATTGCCACAAACGCAGGAGATTCAGTAAATGTTTAACAATCAGATATCCTGCTTTAACAGTGGAACACTAAAAATCATTAGAGGAACAACAATTGACTTTGATTTCATGTCAAACAGGAGACTAACCAGGTTTCAGGTCGTAGTGGATGATGGGGGGTTTGATTTCATTGAGGTAGCGCAACGCGCTGACAATTTGCATGACAATGGAGCGTGCCTCTTTCTCTGACATTAGCTTGTTTTGTTTCAGGTAGAAGTCCAGGTCGTTTCCTTCGCAGAACTCCAACACCGTGCAGAACCTAACAAAGACACATGCACATGGTTACATACCGAGGAAAACAAAGAAAAAAACCAACAAAAAACCCCCAAAAAACGATGAACAAACAAGACGGGAACAGTATTTGCAACTTCAGCTTGTCATCAGTTTAGTGATCCTTAAGTAGCTAGATACACTGATTAACCAGTATACCTTTCTCTCAGGAGATGGAAAGCCTAGAGGCTAAGAAGAGACATTTCCTTCCCCCATATGTAGGTCAGAGGTCAGGGTCAGGACTTTGTGCTATTTAATGAGACCGATCTCAGTTTCCAGCCATGTAAGTGAGCTGCTTAGTTATCCAAGGAACACTTTGCGAAGTTGGTACAATATGAGCAAGAGTAACCTCAGAAATATTTAAACTGTCTTTCTGGACAAACATATAATGCCCTCATTTAGGTATGTGAGACTGGCTGCCACTTCCTTTAAGCACCCTCCGAGTCTGGGTGACTACAGCTCATGTGCTGAGTTAACACCCACAGACAGAAGTTAAACCTTCAAAAAATAACATCCATTGTCAGAGCACGTTAACACTGAATCATACATTCCACTGTGATTTTCTAATCTGATACCACCCTGAACTGGAGCCTCGAGGCACAACACAAACAATTCATGCATTATTTGAATATTTACTGGGTTTGGTCTTTGAAAAGCTTCAACACTAACTAGTGTGCACCACGCTGGTTTACAGCCATTAGAAAAAAAGGTTTTTAACACAGTGCTAAGAGAGGCGCATCCTGAGGATATGTGAACCCAGCAGGGCAGCAGCTGGCAGATGTCACAGGTCACTCACGTGTCAGTATCCAGTGAAAAATAGTCATACAGTTTGACTATTCTGGGATGGTCCAGCTGCTTGTGTATCCGGTACTCCCTGCATGCATGCCTAGAAGGAAAAATGTGTCAAAACAGCATGTGTAAATAGGGAAACATGTTGTCTTTGTGGACCTCAATTATGTTGTGTCTGTGGATGAGACCTACTTGTGGTAGTTCTCCTTTTTCTCCTCTCTCCAGTTCTTGTTGAGCTGGTGGATTTTAACAGCAGCATAGCGCTGCTCAAACAGGTCAAAGGCCTGCACGTGAAAGGAAAGCACACTCAGACGTTTTGTCTGTAAACATACATATGCCCAAAGAGAAAACAGGAAAAGCGCGGTCCTTCCACAAAGACAATACCTTATAGACTTCACTGAAGCCGCCCCTGCCCAGCAGGTGCAACAGAAGGTACCTCTCGTTCAGGGTGGGATGGTCTTTAAATCTGAGTGAGAAAGATGCTTAGTGAGCAAAACAAATTAACACAGCATAAAAAAATACTAACCATTCAGGATGTGTGAAGTTTCTATTATATCATCTGCCTTGTGATACAGCAAGTTTCGGTAACCAATGAAATGAGGAATTAACCTAATGAGTACACAGCTGCTCAAGGCAATCAGCAACTTCTTTGTGATTTATATTCATCATGTGACCACTTGATGATTTTATTCCACATTAATTTTGTTTTCATTCATCGGCTCTACTAAATAACCACTGTGGAAAATAATACTAACGCTCATCCACAGTCACGTCTTAACTGTCAGTAAACAAGATCTTTCAGCGGGGTTGCCGAGTACACTTACGCTGAGCTGTCCTCGTTGTTTATCCTCTTCAGCTCTCTGATATGAAGGTTCCTCACCCTCTCCAACCGCTCCAGCTCTGCTTGGATCTCTGCCTCCTCCTGGACAACCATGAAATTCAAACATTTTACAGTTTAAAAGCGTCAAACAATTGCTTTCAGCAGAATTTTAACAATGTTTTCACAAACAGTTGGTTTATTAGCTGATGCTTTTTTTTTTTAAACACTCACCTTCTTCAGATGTCCAAGGCGGAGCTTAAAGATTTCTTCCTGCTCGTGGTACTCAGCGAGGGTCAGTCTGCCAAAACACAGAGAAATCGAATTTTCCTAATTCCAAATGACACCACTGCTAACCACGGCTTTCAGTAACTTTAAAAAAATAAATATTCAAAAGTAAAAGTTAAAACTACCCATAGAAAGCAATGAAGAGAGGACAACTATTCATTCTTTTATGGTTTAGTATCATTCTCACAGACAGCTTATACTTATTTCATTGTACTCACAGCTGGGGCAATGAGGGTTTCAGGAAGGGGTCAGAATCGTTGCCGTTAACCACCTTCGTTTTGCGCTGCTTGGGCTCAGATGCGGAGGCCACAGAGAGGGAGGGAGCTGCAGGGTTTGGAGGCTTCCTCTTTGCCAGCAGCTTCCTTTGGCGCTCTATGTCCTCTCTCTGCTGGTTGATGCCCTCCTGCTGCCTGTGTAGAAAGAAAGGCACAAGCAAGAAATGGATCATAAGGTAAACACTAAGGCTGGATATAGACAACTCATCGCTGTTTATATTCTTGGCTGTGAAGTGAAGCTTGCACAGAAAATCCAAACACAAACTATAAATAATAGTTGACTGTTTTTGATTTAAAAACAAAACAAAAAACAACACATCACTTGATCAGGTTCTGGAATGCGTATCCGTCAGTCCACTGCTCCGTGTAGGACGCTCCGTGTCTGACGGTGGTGAAGTGGCCGAGACGGAGGCGATCCTGCATGCTCTTCTCGCGACATGACTGCTTCTCCTGAGTGCTCTGTGGGGAAAAACAAAAAAACAGAACAAAAACAGGCAGGCACACAGTTAGAACAATGGCTCTGTTGTTGAAGTATCTTAGCTGAGGCTCGATACTGTTTTCAATTCAAGCCAAGGACTCCAGCAAAATATTCCAGTGATGAACCCTGATCAATTACCATGCAGACTAAAAGTGCATTAAGCAACGTTTAAATATTATGAAACAAAACAACTCTGAACTAAGAGAGGTTGTTTAAACACCGAGTCCTTCCACCACTGTGATACTACATTTATCTCAGTGGAATCCGAATGAGAACAAGTGGCTGGTGAAGATATTCAAAAACCTACCAACCGAAACACGCTTTTCTTTCTCTCAGCAGCTGTGCACCACAGCAAAGCTAAAACACCAGAGAACACTGGACTAAGAAATGTATTTTTCTTTAATGTCGTCACCTTTGCGAACAATAAGTTTCAAGTTTACTTAGTAAATTAGCTAATACATGGTAACACACTCTTGCATCATCTCCTCTTTCACACGTTAAAGAGAAACGATCAGCTTTAAATGTAATATGTTTTTTTTTTTTTTTAGCCAAATGTATGTATGTGTATGAAAACACACCTTTTCTATGAGCAGCTTCTTGCTCATGGTGATGCACTTGTTGAGTCTCTCCTTGTATTTCTCCAGGAGTTTTTGCTGTTCATCAATCTGCCGTCGCAGGTCACAGTTAGCCTGTTAAAAAACAAAACAAAGAGGAACACGATGAAAGACTGTTTACGTGTAATATAAACCTAGTGTGATTTTGAAAATCTTGGTCCACTACAATCATGCCTACTTGCCAATCAATCAACTGGACATGGCAACAAAAACCTTGACATATGGTCTAGATTATTTAAAATGCTAGCCAGCCAGACCAACAAGTTTAGTTTGGATCCATCTTCATGTAAACACTCAGTCAACATAAATGTTTTGCAAGTCAGAGCCAGGCACTAAAGGCACTTCCTCTCCTTTGAAAGTAACCATGAAGATTAAAACATATTGGCCAACTGACTGATATGGAGACTACAGCCCCATGTGATCTGAACAGCCGTCCATCCTTCATCAACTGCTGATCAACACGGAGCTCTAACTCACCCTGAGCAGGTCATCTATTCGCCCTTCTTTCTTTTCCAGGTCCAAACTTTTGTTGCTCTCCAGGGCAGCGAGTTTTAGGCCCGTCAGTTCAGTCTAAAAAAAGCCAAATAAACAGGCACCAGTAAGAGACGACAACTGCCTGAATAAAAATTTAAAAAGAAGCAGAAGAAGAAGAAGAAGAAGAAGAAGAAGGAAAAAAGCCTCATCATGTCAGTGTGTGATTCTTACCTGGACACATTTGCTTGAGGAAGCTTTGAGATTGTGCTCTCCAAAGCACAGACTAGTAGGTGAGGAGCTATTCTGCCGGATCTACGCACACAAAGGTTTTGTTATAAATCTTAAATTTACAGACATTTACTAGTACAAAATGCCAATAATCGATCGAGTAAGTCTGATCCCTGAGCAAGACTTTTAGAGGACACATGCTTATTTGCAGCATCATATTGTTTTCTTAACGTGTACTAGAGTAGCTTTGGAGAATTCACAGTGCTAAATAATCCTTATTTGGCTGACACTCGGCTTTGGTGAAGCCCCAGTTCATCCCTCAAATACTCACGATGGAGCCTGGGGCAGAGTGTGAGTTCTGCGGAGAGCGGCGAACTGATGGGAGACCTCTGACTGGACTGGAACCATTTCCACCCTGGAACTTTGCACAGAGGATAAACTTAAGACTTAAGAAAGAGGTTCGAAATGATAAGAAGAAAGAGCAGTTTTTGTAATACTCACATCAAAATAGTCACTGATCTTGGGCCCACGTGTCGAGGTCTTTCCTGCAAAAACAGAACAAAACAGTTCAAATTCAATGTCAGCCATCAATAACCCCCCCGAATCATGCAGCTTTAACGCAGACATCCACCATACCTTGACTACTCTCTGAATAGGTATCGGCTTTCCTTTTTCTCCCTCTGGACGACTCAGAGTGCTTCTTCTCCGGAGTCTGTAAATAGATATGAAACAAAAAAGAAAAGCATGAATCCCCTGTGTTTTATCTAACAAGGCAGGATCTTGTGGTGGTGTTCAGCAGGAAAGAGCAGCAGGAAGGAAGAGTACATACTGAGTAGGCAGGAGAGCTCCCTCTTTTCAAATCAGAGTTCTAGGAAGAGAAAAGAGGGAGAGGTGGAGGTAGCAGGAGAGGCAGAAAAGAAAGAGTGGGCAGTGCAAGGAAAACACTGACAATATGGCTGTGCTTATGAGCACATATTGCTGTGCATCTCTTTAATAAGTGGTGTAATATGCTCTGACTGTATGTGAGTTTCACCTCTGACTCTTTGTCACTAGATGATCCCAGACTTCCATAGCTGTGATTAGAGGATTCATTAGCCAGACCCTATTCAGAGCAAGAATTCAAACACAGAGAACAAGAGAACAATCAGCACAAGTCAGCTATTCACGTTCTATAATGATCACTAAACGTAAACAGCAGTAAAACAAACGCTGAAGGCAGGCGACGCGGCTGGCTCATCTGACAGGAATCTAGTCTCTGCAGTTCTAAGGTGTGTCACTTGGATCTCTTCCAAATCATGAACATTTCCAGGAACTATGATGTCCTTTTTAGGAAAACAGGAACTTTTTTGCCTGCTTTTCCACAAGCAGGAACACGTGTTTGGTTTTTACTTCCGGGATTGTGACATAGCGCTTTTTGGCAACTTCTGATCATGGTGGGAGTTAGCCATTGCTGCTTTAACTTCCGTAAAGCATGTTTTCTACAGCTAGCAAGTACCAATTGTCAACTAGATTGGATTGGCAGTTTTTTTCCCCTTTCACACTCAAGCTAATTTCTCATGTAGCTCCTACAGTAGGGAAAAACAAAGGCATTTACAGCTCTGTAATGAGTCAAGAAACAAAGACGCACAAAGGGAAATTTTCTGAAGAAGTTTTTGTGCACTAGCTAACTGTTTTTGAGCGAGACATATGAAAATGGAGGCTTTATTTATTTCTCTCTTCTTCTGTGCTGTGTTACCTTAGCACCGCCGCTCGTGCTCCCAGTGCTGCCTCCCGTGTTGCCGCTGACAGCTCCTGTAAACCTGGCCTCCAGCAGCTCCTGTCTCCTGGGGTCCAGGCTGTGCAGCTCCTCCATTGGGCCTGGAATGACGACAAAAGCACAATACAGTGAGACGCTTATATTATCACCCATAATCGTGCTATAAAGAATTAGAGCAGAACACACTGCTGTGAAAAAAAAAAAGAATAAAAATACCCAAAAGGAATAAAAACGAGCGCAGGAAAATACATAAGCCGACAGTATCAGGGATGGGATGAGGAAAAATAAGAATGAGAATAAAAATAGAAAAATGCATTTCGTTCGACTGGGAAGGAGGCAGCCCTTCAAAAGACGTGTTTGCAATATATATGCTGGAAATTACAGCAGCTGAGTGACACTGTAAGTACAAACAGAAAGCATGGAGGTCATTTTACACCTAGAGAAATGGGACGAGAACAGACAGCGCTGGCTTGAGTCTGCCAACACAAAGATTGTCAGCTGGCCCATCTACAGTATTGTTTCTTTAAAAGTTAGCCTGTCACACATCCTCACTGCACTGTCCTCAAGCAGTTTAACATTTCAGGATTTCAGTACTTCTGAACATTTGCAGATGGAGGAAAAATAACAAGTTGCTACATCACTCAAAAAAGAAGCAGACGGCAGCAGTGTGTCTAATTGAAATGCTACACGTGTGCATCAGTTCTCCTCACCCTGTTGAGTATATATACACACACACACACACACATATACATATATATATACATATATACACATATATACATATATATACATATATCTCACACACACGCACAGTCAGACTGGGCCTAGAACAACCAGTTTCCCAAGTGAGAGGAAGGCAGGTCTTCATACTCCCTGCTGTATGCTGCAAGTGTTTGTTTCCTTATTGGACATTTCCTGGCTGTCATCTTTACACAGCTTCTGGCACAGGGGCAAGCCTTAAAAGGCATAATGGACATTATGAAACCTTTGTGCAGTCAAACTGGGAGCACAACAAAATACCAATAGTATGTGGGGTTATTTTAGGACAGGCAACATTTGGGTTAAGTGATCTATAAAGCTAGACCTTCGTGTTGGGAGAATTATTTTGTCTATTTGGACATTATTGTTATGGGTCTTGCGTAAAAAAATATTTTAATAAAAAAAAAAAATAGTCTTGAGCACGTATCCTATATCGGTATGGTACCTATTACGCATATTTTGATACGCATATTCGGACTAACTTCGTAACACCGTCGCTGTCTCAGTAATTTTCCTCTGCCCTATAACTAATGGTCTTAGCTGGAAGAGTCTAAACGACTGCTGATATTTACCCAGTTTTGTCACATTACATCCAGCAACTCCGAGTCACAAGTAAATAACATCACGTCAACAACAAAGCAAAAGACGTGGAACAACAAATGCGCCCAAACTGGTTTAAAAAAGTGCAACCCACGGCCTGTTTGGCAGTTCAAAGTAGCGGGGTCATGCATTACAGCGCATTAATGGATGCATGCATAGCTGCGTTGTTTAATATTCCACTAGAAGCTGTTGACAGGATGTTACAAACTGCTACAAAAACACTGTTTTCGGATCGACGGCGATCGAGTGACAAGAGATCACGAAACATGACAGCGAAACAAAACGAAACAACAAGCTAGCACTGCCTTTGTGCAAACACGATAGCCCGTTGCTACTTAGACTGGCCATCAACTGAACTGACAGCTGACATTTGGCTTCCAATTCACGGCATCACTGAACTTGACATCCATTTTTTTTACTTGAACAAACGCTAGCTCGACACGGCCAAAATAATCCACTTCTCGGGGGGGAAAGAACGCACTTTGGGGAGAATGCGAGCGGGTCGTGCACTTGGGTGAGCTGGTGTACCTTCCTTGCTCTTTGCGGTCGCCGTTATTTGTGGTTGAGAAATCGTTGGGGACGAGGAGAGCTGCGACCAAGATGGCGTCGCCTCCAAACTTCCACCACCACTTCCACTGTTACTTTGGACACTCATGAAGCCACTTTACCGCCGTGAGGAGCCAGCGTACACACTGCCGTTCGCGGAAATCCCGAACTCGCGTTCATGGTTCTTGACACCTGCCGTCGCCAAACGGGCCGGTAAACGTGAGTAACTCCGTGGCTGTCGGAGTCGCTAGACGTCTCGCATTTTGTGCTCCGTGCGGGTCCTGCGGAGGAGCGGCTTCTTTCGAGACTCGTTGAAACCGATCCAACGTAACCTTTGCATGATGACCGTACGCGCGCCTGTCAGCATCCAGTTCGCGAGCGGAGCTTTGATTCTGGTAGGCGAGGCTATCGCGAGGCTCGCGCGCGCCTAGCTGCGCGGTGGGGGGATGGCGTGACACCGAAACAGACACTGATCTGGGATCATTTTACCCTCCTCCAAAGTAGCCCGAGGTTCACCAGAAGGCGCTGCTCAGCGTCGACCTGAGAACAGCTCCTTGTTTTGGTGAAAACAACAAGCACCCAAAAAAAATGGCCGAAAGTTCGTGTCTGCTTAGATAGAAGGAAGGGAAAGATAAACGCGCAGTAGGATTTATGTACACACACACAGTCATACAAACTGACTTTATGTTCGTAGATATGCGCACTACTGTAAGTAGTACGTACAGTGTGCCAGTTTAATTTGGCAGCAGGGAGTGAGCGTGTGGGTCTGTGTGATGACTGAGTAAATGTGTTACAGTAGGCAGGGCTGTGGTCTTGATATACTGTTGTTTCAGTCTTGAACTACAAGTTGCGGGGAGGAGGAGGAGGGAAGGAAGGTATGGGGGGGTGCAGGTGGTGGGAGGATAGTGATGTGGTCTGGGCTATAAGGTCTTTTGTTCCAAAATTGGTGCAGTGCATCAAAATGCCTTTGCTGTGTTGTAAGGCAGCACACACACACACACAAAACTCTCTAACATTTAACTGTCTGGCCTACATCTCCCTCGCATTCCTGTCTAATACATTTATGTAACCTCGACATGTGCAGCTGGGAGTCAACGACTGTGCGGGGAAGCTTCCTAATCCCTAATATTTTTAGTGTTTTTAATCTTACGGGTTCAGATAAACATTCAAAGTGATAGTAAACACACCGCAAAACGGATTTTGTGTCTGTCAAACCCAGCTTCCCCTTGCAGTCATATTGCATCAGGCAACAGACGGAGCCACAAATGATCATACTGCACCTCATATGCACCTGCCCATGGTAACCTGATTTTTTTTTTTTGTCACATGGTTTCCATGGTAACAGAGCAATCGTCTTGACAGGCAATCAGGACGTTGTATAAGCAGTGTACTACATTACGATACACCATGTATGTACACACACACACACACACACACACACACACACAGTCACTCAGCCGTTATGATGTAATTCCAGGTATGAAACTGGAGTTGTGTTATGAGGACAGGGCTGACGGCAAGCTGATATTCAAGAAGCAGCCACGACATTCCAGGAGCATCAAATGCCTGATGGAAAACCGGGAGTGTTGGCTGACATTTTACAAACTGCCTCCGGCTTGCCTATACTGCACACAGCTAAGGCCTGCAACAATAATGGCCTTTCAGAAAATAATAAAAGTTTGACAAAGCAGAGGAAGTGAAGCGGAAAAGAAGTAGCTGCACAGTTGCAGAGGTATGACTTTTTATAACAGCTCTCGCATCCAACAGTCCAACTGTTAAAAATAAATAAATATAAAACAAACAATTTTCTGTTTAAAGTATTTCAATTATTTTCAAGCATCAAAAAACTCGATCAATTATAAGAAAATAAAGAAACATTTAAAATACCTTGATACACGTTCAAAGTCCAGATAAAAGTAAGACAATTTAGGATGCAGTCCATGCCAACATCCTTCATTCCTTATACCATTTTATGATATATGAATCAATCCAGTAATAAAAAAGCAGGTAGACTTGGAATAAAAATGAATGTGCCTGTGTGCTTTAAAAAATATTGAAATATAGTATTAGTAAATATATGCATCTGCAGTTATGTAGCATACTGTATAGGCGATTACTCAATAAGGCTAAAAGTAGTAACAAATATGCTCATCAGAATATTTACAAGACAATCAAGAATCCTTCTGAAAAAGTAAAAACTTTCAAATCTCGCATCGTATGAAGATGACAGTACCTCATGGACTAAAATGAGTAGTTTAACTACAGATTCAAGAGACATTAGAAATAGTAAAAAAGAAATAGTAGAATCATATGAATAAAGTTTACTCTATAATACAATCTCAAATGAACAACAAAACACAACATTATTATAACGAGTTATTATTTAACATTAAATAAGCCAAAACGCAGTGTGTGGAAAAACTAAGCACACCCTTACTGCTTTTATAGGAATTAAGAGGGTAAGTAGCAGCTAAGTGCTGCTAATCAAATGTACTTGATTCCTCAGAAAGTGCTGGCACCTCTGTAGAAAACACCTCATACCAACTGTGATGCACGGTGGAGGAGGGGTGATGATTTGGGCTTTACATCATGAGCTCATCTGTATACCAAAGTATTCTAGAGTCAGATGTGTGGCCTTATGTCCGACATCGAAAACTTAGCCAAAACTGGGTCACGCAGCAGGACAATGATCCCAAGTATAGCAGCAAATCTACCACAGAACCACCGAAGAAAAGAATTAAGGTGTAGCAATGGCCCAGTCCAAGTGCAGACCTCAGCCTGATTGAAATGTTGTGGCGGGACTCTGAGGTGTGCATAAATGACTGCTTGAAAACTTTACTGAGCTGAAGTAATGCTTTAAAAAAGAGTGAAGCAAAGTTCCTCTACAGTGATGTGAAAAACTGATAAAATAATATGGAATACGATTACTTTGGGTTATTAAGTTATAGGTAGTGTTGTTCTACAAGTTACTGAAATTTAGCTTTTTGTTAAATAATAATAGTAATAATAATGACACAGTATAATATGTCATTATTACCTAACCATACTGACCTAACTTTAAGACCTAGCAAGGACTGAATGTCTTGATCAGTAAAGAATAGTTAATCAGTTAGTTTTTACTCCCTTAACAACAATCTGGTCTATTTTAGGCCACAAGCTTATTATAATGTTCTGATTTGTTGCATAAAACACTACAAAGCATGTGAAGATTAACAGTTTGTTAACATGAATTTCACATATTCTAAATGTGTTAATGAAAATGGAAAATAATTCCATGCACAAGGGTTCCTGTTTGTGAAAAGGGAGCTGCGTTTTAATCTAAGTGCACATATTTCTTGGTGAAAAGTGGGTTTTTAAAAATGTTTAATTTTGAAACTGATGGGAATGTGCGCTAAAAAAAAAAAAGAAGCTGGGTTTTAAAATGCAAGACATAAGAAGCAGCAGGGAAATGTAATCAGTGTTTTGTGAATTGTGTTAAATGTTAATCATTGTAGGAATAAGGACACAGTTGGACGTAATAGTTTAATGCCGTGACAGTTACATAAAGGTCAGAGGAAGTCGTGGACATGCAACCGTTTCTTCAGAAAACAGAATTTTACTGCATTTAAGGCAATAACAACGGAAATATTACAGTTTGAATGCTTGTTCATTAGAAAGAATTGTAAATGCTAAAATCTAAATGTACAAATTGATGAGTTTGTATTTTTAAGGATACAAATACATTCCTATAGAGACATTTGGCAGGCGTACATATAATCCACAAAGGTTAAGTCTATACTTTCGCCAGTGAAACCTTAAGAAAATATGCTCTTCCTGTGATTAAGGGGGGCCTGCCTTGCCTTTTCATACATGCTGACGTAGGATCTGAGGAGGTCTTCGATCGTGTGGGCCTGAAAAAGAAAAGAATGATTCTTTTTGTGCAAATCTTTCACGTCATATTTTATTCTCCTTAACATTTATTGGCATTCGTTCTAAAGGAAATTCTGTGTTTTGTCATGCATCAAAATACATTCAAAGCTTGTCACTCACATGTGGGGTTTCACAGACAAAGGTGACGCCCCTGAACATGGTGCCGATGGTCATCTGGAAGGAGTTGCCTTTGCTGAAATATTCTGTGATGCGGCTGAACTCGTGCATTATCAGTGTGTCCTAAAAGAGTTTCAAGTAATGCAATGTTATTTGCAAATGAGCACAAATGACCTTAGGCTACTGTAAAAATAGAAATATATTGTGCTTTTTATTGAACATACCTTTGTTTCTGGGTCTATTAAGCAAACCCCTTGCTTATTGATGCCGATCAGAAGTGTAGCTGGGTAGCTAGATTCACATGTTTGCTGCAAATGAAACAACGTAACATCAGTTTCCTCAAATTCTTGCGGGCCAGTGTGTCTGTCACTTACTCCAGCTAACTCACTTTAACTTCAAAGAAGGTACAGCCAAAGGTTGGCCAACTTGAAATGATTTTTAGGAAGTCGATTTTGGCTTCGTCCACTGTGATGCCACTCTGCTGCTTGTATGAGGAGATGATGTGCTGCAAGAAAAACGATAAAGCATAAAATAGCCTTACACCGGAGCTCCAATCCCATCTTCTGAGACACGAAGTAGACCATTTGGGGGGTGCTTCTGTACAATTTGTTCTTTACCTTCTTCCATTCATCCGGGGACATGATTTTTTGCTGGTCAGCAGGAACCAGGTCCTTCAGCATTTTGGGGATCATGACGAACTGTGACATGTCTGACTCTACTTTAACTCTGAATAGGAGCCCACCCAGGGTAATCATGTCTTCTTTGGTGCAGTCGTGGTATCCCCGCAGGTACCTCGATCGTTCCTGCAAAGAAGCAAATTCGAGGTAAGATATCGTGGCAATTATTCATCTTAAACATGAAAAGAATCTCAGTGAATAAAGAGAGTGGTTGTAATATAGATACCTGTGGAAAATGGAAAGTGAGATCTGCTTTCACATCTTTCCCCGGGTTCACATTGAACCAGAGCTTCCTCTTAAAGAGTACCAAGGAAGGTAAATTGGTCTGAGTGACTAAAAAAAGTGAGATTTATTTTGATTAGATCTGTCAAGGCAAAGACATGCATAAAAAAGTGACGGCAGTTGGTTTACTCCATTACCTTCTTTCCCCTTTTTCTTTTTTTTGGGGACGTCTGAGGTTATCTTTAGACTGTCAAAGAAATATTTATCCTCTTCCATGCTCACCGTCTAAGAATTGAAACCAAAAACGCTTCGTCACATAAAGGAAAAAGATGTATTCGTTACGTATGGACTGTATTGTGATATTGTGCATAGCATTTTTGTCTTTTCTGTCAGATCACTGTACAAGCTGATGTCTGATCGAAAACACTGAACTGACAGTGTTAGGCAACACCACCTTGGTTAGCGTTTTCAGGTACAGGCCGTATCCTTCAGGTGAGTTCAGAATGAGCTGAGAGGCGATGCTGATGCGCATGTCTCCAATTGTGGTTGTTGATGTCACCTCGACTATCTGCGCCACAGCAAGGACAAGAAATCATGATAACATTAAATCGACATTTAATGGCAAAACTGATTCTTAATCTCTCTCTTACGGTTAATACAACTCCAATGCCAAGAAACCTGTGACACTACGTAAAATGCTGTGACACTATGTTAAATGTGTCACAGCATTGATGAGCCAAATGTTTTTAATTTGTAAAAGGTCTGGACTTCAGGTAGTTCAGCACCTGGACTCCTCTACTACTAAGCAATCCTGTTGTAAAAGCTTCAGTATGCAATTTTAAATTGTTTTGCCGAAATATGCACAGACTTCCTTGGACGACACGTCATCTGGATGGGAGCATATGTTGCTCTAAAACCTGCATTGGTCATTTCTTTTCAGATATGCAAGCTACCATCAGAGATCCAGGCTTTTTTTTTTTTGTCTTAGTCCATTTTAAGAGAGCTTTAGCCCAAAGAAAAGAATGCAGCATATCTGGAACATGGGATATTTGGTCTTCCCAGTTTTACATTCAGGAATAATATTCTGAAAATTTCCCACAATTTGTAAATGCAATTTTTTGCAGATGGTGAACCTCTCAGCTTTACTTTTGAGAAGCTCCGCCCCTCTAAGATGTTCTTGTTATACCCAGTCATGTTATTGATCTGTTGCCACATAACCTAAACAGTGCAATAATATTCCCACAAAGGTTTTTTTTTAGGTTTTCCAGCCTTTTTTTGAGCTATGTTGCTTCAATCCAAATTAAAATGAGTGAATATATTTCATCAAATAGCAAAATTTAACCCTTTCATGCAGAATTATGACAACCTTGATCAGGATTTTTTATTCATCTTTAGGCTTGAAAAGATGAATAACAATACTTAAGAAAAAAATCCTGCTCAAGGTTGTCATAATTCATGCATGAAAGGGTTAAATAACAATAATTACAATGAAACACGTCATACATCTATAGTAATATTAAACGACCAGTGGGTGGCAGGGTATGGACACATCAGTGTCCAATGTAGTGGTTTATGTGCAAGTATAACGTCAACACTGACACAAACTCAAGAAAACAGCATTTGGATAGCTGTCCACTGTAGTGACCACTATGCGTCAAAGGGGTAAACATTCAAGTTTAAACATTCAACATGATTTCATGTTCTATTGTGAATAAAATTGGGATTTATGAGTTGTGCAAATGATTGCATTTTTTAAAATTAACATTAAATCCAAAAATTGATTGAATGCAGGTTCTTACATCAGTTGATTCATCTGGGAAGTGGACTTTCTGGAAGATCTTAGGGCTGTTCTGTTGGATAGCGTCCACTTCTATAAAATGGGGAGGAAGATTCCTGGGCTTCTTACTGAGTATACAAAACAAATGAAGTTACACACACAAAAAAATACTTATGTGGAATTTCAGATCACTAAGTTACAATACCGGTGTTATCTTGTGGACATGTTTAAAAAAAAAAATTAAACTTGGCTGATAAACTTTTTTGTGGTTTCTAAAGTGTGCGTCTGACAAATCAGTGCATTGTGGTAATTTTGGGGGCCAGCATTTACCAGAGAGTAGATTCTGTCAGTTAGATTTTCATCACAATTTAATACCAGTTTTAAAGCAATGTTATTTCTAAAATATGGACAACCACGTTTTGAAGTATCAAAATAGTCAGTATTTCTAATCTTCTCAGGATTTTTGTTTCTAAATAGTGTTCGTATCGCCAGGCTGACCTGCAGATCTCCTGCAGCCTCTCCAGGCAAAGAGCAGCCAGTGGGTATCTGGGCCGCGACTCCAGGAAGCACCGTGTGTGTTTCAATAAATCCCAGCTGGGCGGGAACAAGCCTGAACACAGCCACATCAGCTGCCACCCACGCTCTATACTCAAACTGAAGTGAGGGGAAGAAAGAGAAAACGATATGATGGAAATGGATTTTTTGTGATTATTGTTTTGGTGTCTTTCTGACACAGTGAAGAACACTGGAGAACCTGTTGCTGTTGGTGGTCATCTGTCTCATGATCTGGCAGTAAATTTCATCGCGCAGTTCTTCATGCTTTGTGGCTGGACCAAAGATCTGGTCGGTCAACTCTACGGGACTGCGGACATGTTTGATGGGGTAGTCGCCCATGTACTTCAGGATGGGTAGAGGCTAACGTTAAGGACTCACTCAAAC